TATTTTTGACGTAAGTTTTTCATAGATATTTTAAGCATTTTGAATTATCAATTATTGTGACTTATAGTACTTTTTACGTATTTACAAATATATAAATTTCCTTTCAAAAAAATTGAAACTTTCATGCTCATATTCTCGATCAAACTTAAACTATTTGACTCTCGAAAAATTAAAAAGTGTCATATAAACTGAAACAAAGAAAATAGTATTTATTAAGAAATTTACTTATTAACGACTTAACAAATAACCTAACAATATTTTGAGACGAAAGTAACACCTTTACTAGAAAGAATCAATAATACAAACAAAGAATAAATTCTCTAAGGACATAGATTATATCTTAAGACATAAATAGGAATAAAATAATCAAACATCCATCCTAATTACTTAAATATTCTTTTAAGAGACGTGTAAATGAAAAACACGATAAGTATTTTGAGACAAAGGGAAACACCTTTTACTAGAAATCAAAGAATCATCAATAATACAACCAAAAGCCTAAAAACTCCTAAACACAAAACAACAATTCTAAAAAACACAAAACACAAACAAGAAACAATGATCTAACAACTCCACATGAAGCTTCACATGATCTATTCTTCTTCAATGGCATAGTTATAGTATTACTACTACTCCCACACACATTAACTCCAACATAAACCCCTTCATGTTGATTCATCAAACATAGCCCTGGATTTCCACTTAAGTCCAAATTCCTTCCAAGTCTTTTCAAAAAACTTGAATTGAATGGCACAACACCATCTAACAAATTTCTACTCAAATTCAAGTGATACATATGTGATAATCTTGAAAATTCCACCGGTATCTCACCTGTTAATCGATTGTTTTGTAAAGACAACGTAGTTAAGTTCACGAGTTGTGAGTAACTTGATGGTATTTCCCCTGAGTAACCTGAACTTGAAAGGCTCAATTCTTGAAGTTTATGTAATTGACTCAATTCATCAGGCAATGTTATGAACATCATTGGATTGTCATCCATGAGAAAATATTGAAGTTCTTGAAGTTTATGTATCCCATTTGGGAAATTGCCACTTAACTTGTTGTTACTAAGTGCTAAGAAGTTTAAAGATTGTAACTTTTCTATTGTTGGAGGGATTTTGCCTGTTAATGAGTTTGAGCTTAAGTCAAGTTTTTGAAGAGATTTGAGAAGGCCAATTGTGGATGGGATTGGATTTGTTAATGAATTGTAGCTAAAGTCTAAGCCTATAAGATTGATGAGATTGCCAATTTGGTTTGGGATTTGACCTGTGAGGTTGTTGTAGCTTAAATCAAGATGAATAAGTGAGTTGAGTGTGAAGATTTGTGGTGGGATTTGTCCAAGAAGATTGTTTTGTGACAATGTGAGGATTTGAAGTGATTTAAGTGATGAAATTTGAGGTGGGATTGTGCCAATTAATGATGGATTTGATCTTATACTAAGTTGTTGGAGAATTCTGTTTTCTTGAATGGAGATTGTTGTTTTTGTGTGTGTGAAGCATTGGATAAAGAAGAGAGATTCAAGATTTGGGAGTTGGAAAATGAGTGAAGGGAATGTTGCTGTTTTCTTGCAAGTGGGATTTGGATGTGTCCCAAAATCAAGCCTAGTGACATGGTAAATGTTGTTGGTGTTTTTTTTGCACTCAATTCCAAGCCAAGATGAACTTTGTTGGCATGGATTTGGATATGATTTTCTCCAATTTTGGTCACTGGAAATTGATTCCATGATCTTGTAAAGAGTTTCTAGTTCATGAGGATTCATGTTTGGTTGTGTGAGATTGTTGATGTTTGCTACATTGGTTGAGGAGATAGAAGGTGGGGTGGTAGATAGGAAAAACATGAGTAGTAGAGGAAATAAAAAGAGTTTGAATGGATACATTGTATTTGTTGTAAAAGTTTCTGATCAATTGTTGGAGTTCTATTTGATATTTTAAGAAAAGAATCAATTTTTATGCAAGAACTATTTGGAGGGTTTAGTGGTGGTGGAGGGGGGGGGGGGTAGGCTTAGAGATGTGACTGATACGATGGGTGGGGGAGAGTGGGGACATGATCTTGAGTGAGAAAAGAATCATTTATGCAAGAAATGTATGGACTTTAGAGGGTGTGGAGGTTTGGTGTCATTAGGAGATTCGAGGCGGAGCTAGAATTTTAGTTAGGATGTGGCTTACCTTATTTATCTAAATTAAATATTTTACCTTATAATAATAATAATAATATATCCAGTCTAGAAAGGATAGAAGATAGAGTCGATACATCAAAAATGATCTTTGGCAGTAATTAATTAATGACAATAACTTAATTGTTGTTAAATAAGTATTTTAGCTACAATTAGCATCCTTTGTAAGTGTCTTTAAAGTCTACGATGATAATGGATCCAATGTCAATTAACTAATGTTGATAAAAACTTTAGCACTCTTTGTAATGTATATATTTATTGCCGCTAAAAGTTGTTTTTGTTGTTGTGAGTCTACTAAGAGATAAAGAGGTTGTTTTCGATAAATCTTCGGCTCAAGAAAAAGCAATTCGGAAAAAAAGAAGCAACGAAAGAAAAGGCATAACAAATCATTCTCAATAATAACTACACAAAATAATACGATTGTTGAAGTGTGCTTTTAGTTACTGCAGTAACTTTTAGCAAAATAAGTTATTTAGTTTGAATAAATTTGAATTTTGAATTTTAGTTAATTTGTTTATGTTGTTGAGATATTTTAGGTTGTTTAAATTTTAAATTATGCAGATTATGTGTTTTATGTTGGCTATTTAAAGCCCCTCAATGCTTAATAAAATTTTTGAAAACTATTGAAAGTCATTTCAATCCATTGCGACAAAGTTTCAATCTTTTTGTGCTGCCCCATTTTTAAAAAAACACCAACAGTGGTATCAAGAGCTTCATTGATCTTAAGGGATCTGTGAAATCTTCCAAAGAACTACCATACATTTTTAACCTGTAAGGGCTACCTTTTTAACCTATCAGGGCTACCCATTTTAACCCATCAAGGCTACCTTTTCAACTGGTGCTTTTTTCAACACACAGGTTTTTCTAAATCATTTTTTAACCAAAATAATGGCAAGCAGCAGTCTCTCTTTGAATGCCCCACAAATTTTCACAGACGAAAACTATCAAATTTGGTCTGTGAGAATAAAACCATATTTTGAAACATATGTGATATGTGAGGTTGTGATGGAAGAAAAACCCTTACAACCTCTCTCTGCAAATCATACAAAAGTTTAGATTAAAGCACTTTCAAAAAAACTTCTACACAATACAGTGTCATCACATGGGTTTTTGAAGAACAAAATCAAAAGAAGAAATTTTGCAAGTTCAAAAACAATGAAAACAATCCAACATCAACTACCAAAACAAAAATTGAGGAGGAGCATTTTTTTCAATTGCAGTAACTAAAACAAAGGAGAAGTGTTGAAGTTTGTTTTTAGTTATTGCAGTAACTTTTAGCAAAATAAGTTATTTAGTTTGAATAAATTTGAATTTTGAATTTTAGTTTGTTTGTTTATGTTGTTGAGATATTTTAGGTTGTTTAAATTTTAAATTATGCAGATTATATGTTTTATGTTGGCTATTTAAAGCCCATCAATGCTTAATAAAATTATTGAAAGTCATTTCAATCCATTGAGAGAAATTTTCAATCTTTTTATGCTATCCCATTTTTAAAAAACACCAACAACGATAATCAAAATATAAGAAACAACATATAGTAACAGAGAATGAAGGACAATAAACTAGGAGAGCAATACTATGACTACTAAGTTGGATGAATAGCGAGATATCGCACTACTAACTACTATCTTAATCCATGTTCTCTACAACTTCTTATCTACACTCATATCCTCAGTGAACTTTATTAAATATTTTACTTAATACATATAAATAATTCATTCAAAATCAATAAATTATTTTTTCTAAAATTCCTAATTTAAAATTTTGAAATTTTATCTAGGATGAGGTGGGGTGGGGGGAAGGGGGTGAGTTTGAACTGAAGAGATGTGAGTGATATGATAGGTGGGGTACATGATGCTCTTGAGTGATAAATTGAAACCAAGGTAGGGTCAATAGGACATTTGAAGCCATGGCGGAGACAGAAAGAAAAGAAGGGTTGATGGAAAATAGCAGAGAATATATTTCATTATTTTCATTCAACTTAAATTTTATCCCTCCGTTTCACAAAGAATAGTCCAGTTTGACTTGGCACGAAGTTTAAGAAAATAAAAAAGACTTTTAAATCTTGTGATCCTAAATTAAAGTTATGTCGAATGTACAAAATTGTCCTTTAATCTTGTGGCCTTATACATGTCACGGGAAAAATTGAAATTAAAATGTTAACAAAAAAAGAAAAAGGTCATTCTTTTTTAACGGACTAAAAAGGAAAGGAGATTATTATTTTTGAAACGGAGGGAGTAGTATATAGTATATTACATTATTGGAGTTGCTTAACTAGTGATGATATGTTATTTATTGTATTTTTCAAGTTCCAAATTCTGTTTGCTAATTACTTTTTGTTGTTGCCTAAAACTTAAATTCTATATCATTTAAGACAAGAGCGGAGTTACAATATTAGATAGACATAATAAATTAACGTGTTTTTTAATTTGTTTCAATTTTGGGTGTGCACAAGTCGACACTTAAATTTGTATAAAATTGAATAAATAGACACATTATGTGATGTCCTACATTGCAATTTTGTGTCCTGTATGACAATCTACGTGTATTATGTCACATAGGACGTGCGTGACAGTTTGTTCAATTTTATATAAACTTAAGTGTTTTACTTGTCCAAACCCAAAATTAAAGGATAGATATCAGCTGAAGCGAGGTTAAAAAGCATATTTATGTATTATATCTAATAAGATTCGAATGATTTTGTAATTTTTATTTAGATTGTATGTTTGTTTTAAAAAATCTATTAAATTATATATACACAAACATTTATTTATAAATTGAAACTAAAAAGAACTATGAGTTTAATTAAAGACTTTCCAACTAATATTAGAAATGCCAATGTTTCATTTATGTGGAAGAATTATGAAAGTCAAAATACACATTGATATAGTCCTTCACTAATACATTTCTAAATAATACATCATGTTTTCTTCTCTTCTCGGATTACACTGAATATGATATTATATATGTTTGCTCTTGTGATTTATGGTATTGTTTTTCCTCAATGTTTCTTTGCTTCTTTCTCCGCCTGCAAACATGTCAAGTTTCAGAATACGAATTAATGACTCGATTTTAAGATATGATGTAAATATTATTTATCATGAGTTATCTATCATCACATTCTCTCTTCTTTTTTTTCTAACGATACTGTCAGTGCATAGAAATTAAATTGGTTCGAGAATTCGTACCGCTCTAACCACCTTGTCAAAGGCATCTGGTCCATACTTCTCTATATATCTTTCAACAGCTTTCCTTGCATCAAGACTCATCATTTGGAGTGCTTTCCTTTGATTTTGTGGATAATTTGAGCTAACATGGCTCCCAACTTTAACATGTTTTCTTATGAAATTTTCATGTATATAAGCTGCTCCATGGAAAATTGGTAGCACCAACCACATACAACATACAAGTTTGATGAATGGCCAGAATGGAAGCCTGAAAATTGAAGTAAAATCGTTAATTCGTCGTTAAATTTTGTAGCTAACAGAATATTATATGATAATTAGTCCCTAATTCATCACTAAATAGGATTTGTGAAGAATTTTTATTGTTTTAGCTACAAAATTTGTCCGTCACTAATTCTTGTTGTTTTTAGTACTAACTCGTTCAGAATGCATCTAAGGATGTAGTCTAATGATCAACGAAGGTTGAAAAATCATAACAGAGACTAATATTTGAATTTCAATGCATAAAAGAAAGTTATTATTAGGTGATTTTTTTCCGTTTATCTAAAATTTGATGGACAAAGTTATTCGCACATATAATGATAGAGCCATAAATTCTAGCAAGAGAATTCAAAAATTACAAGAATTTCACACTTAGGAATGTTATAGAAAAAGTTTTATTTTTATTCCATTTATTTAATCAATATTATTTTTGAAGAGAGGGGTATCAATTGAACTCCCTAAAAAAAGGGGTAGACTATTTGTCACTAAAAACAAAAATTCATCACTAATCATATTTAACGATGATTTAACGATGGATTATTTTTTTAAAAGCCATGTTAACTATAGGTTATTTAGTGATATATCATCAACGAATTTCATAGCTAATTAGATTCCCAGTATAGAATGATTGAGATATATATGTACGGACAAACGGACTCGAACTCCAAAATATATAGTAACAATAATTTGATCAGAATATAGAAGTTATTGTTACCATTGGAGGACTTTCCAGCAAGACAACTCAAATAGAGTTATGAATGAATAGAGAACCCAATAGGTTAACCATTGTTGATCATCTAATGGTGAAGGGCTCTCAATTGCTCTCATAGAAGAATACCTTCAATATTCAAGAACAATAGTTAACATATGATGTTTGTAATTTTAATATGGTTAAAAATAGATATGAACTATAATTTTTTCGTGAGTTTCATACTCTGACTATTAGTTGTTGTTTTTTTACGTGAACTATCACTGAGTATGTATCAAAACACACATAATTGAGTAGATGGTGATAGTTCAGGTAGGAAAAAGGAACAACTGATAGTTGGTCTAGCGAGCTTCAATATGTGTTATGATAGTTCAGGTTGGGAAAGGGAATAACTAATAGTTAGAGTATGAAACTCGTGAAAAAAATGATAATTCAAATGTTTTTTCATCATTAATTAATTAATAATTGATCAAATTGCAACTTACAAAGGATAGAGAAGCATCACTCCAGGGCTGTTAAGAAAAAAATGAAAAGTTAGGTCTTAATTTACTAAAAACACAACAAAAAAAAAAAAACAACCCATAAAACAAAAACTTTAAGTATATAGGAGGTCATTATTTTATGATCATTCACTACATATCTAACTCAAAAAAAAAAGGAAAATAAGATAAAAGAAGATTTTTTTTAAATTAGAAAGTAAATCCAAATAAAAAAACATGCATGTTGAACTTATATTTTTGGGTTTCTTATATAGCATAGCGGTCTGTCAAAATAATAACCTACAAATATATATACACACATAATATACACAATTTATACATAACTAGGCTATCTTCTTCTTCTTCTTCTCTCTTTATATATATATATATATATATATATATATATATATATATATATATATATATATATATATATATATATATATATATATATATATATATATATATATATATATATATATATATATATATATATATATATATATATATATATATATATATATATATATATATATATATATATATATATATATATATATATATATATATATATATATATATATATATATATATATATATATATATATATATATATAGTTAGCGGTTTATAATTATTTTTCTCGGGCATCCAAATATGTAACTTTTCCATGTATTTTTTTTACAATACAACAAAAATTTGGGATAGTGTTCATCGTAAAAAGATTGAATTAATAAAAAAGTTGATACTAAACGATGATATTAGCAAAATATTTATATGTATTATATAATTAAATTAAATTTGAGGGGGTCAAAAAAAGATATACACGTTGTTTCAATAATTAATAACCTACGAAAATTAAATTGAATTACCCGATTAATGCATTCAAACTTTTAGCAATAGTTCCAATAGCACCCATTGGAAAATATTTCTTTATTTTCCTCTTGCAAATTTGATCTTTTTATGAAGGGAAAATTTGCAACATTTTATAAGTTAGGAATATTGTGCATGAAAGCAATTAGCACAAGTAAAGGATATATTTATCAAAGTATAGAGAAAGTCTTCTTTTCTCCGCCATGAAGGTATTGGGGGGGGGGGGGGATCTAAGGTATGAGGTGCGGTTTTTCGAGAATCTAGTTTTGTATTTATCTGATGAAAATCTAATAACAAAGTACGTTCTTGATTTAGCAGCAAAACAAAAACTTGTTCAAGTTTTCTCACTATCATCATGAATGCGAGTTCAATTCCCTTTGGACATTTAAAATAATTTTTTTTATTTAAAATTTGAGATCATTAAATATTTATAAATCTTAAATTTTAAATTCGATTATTCTACGATCATGCATGGTAAAAAAAAAGAAGGTGGAATTTCCTTTCCTACTACACTACCTTTGCCTCTACTTCACGTCAACCACATGCAATAAAATGAATCTTAAAGTAACATTTAAAGTCGGCAAGTTAACTTTTTTGTTTTCGTTATCGATGTATATTATTTAGTATATAACAAATGTATAATAAGTGTATCTAGTCAGACGTTTTTATTTCTTGCGTAAGTAAATTAAAATAGGGAAAATTACACGGTTAAGCAAATTTATACTATTTAATTAGTCATCATAGCTATAGTTTGTTATAATTACCACTTACGACTAACATTAACCATTAATTACGTGGGTTGACTGCGAGTTTGTATAATTAGCCACATTTGTATAATTCGCAATTAACAATTCTTTGTTTGATTTGTTTTTTGTATACGATAGTTTGTATTTGTATATATATTTATATATGATGAATATGGTTTCCTTTAGTTTTTCAGTTTTATCACCATATACATTCAATCTTTTTTTGTATAACTTTTTAAAGTTGATATAAATGTGTAGTTTTCGGATTTTGTATAATATAATTTATATAATGTAATTTGTATAATATAATTTGTATAATTGCTTAAAGTTCATATGTTATGTTTGTATCAATTCGTTATTTCGAGTTTTATCATATTTGTATAATTCCAGACTTTGTATTACTCAATTATACAAAAACACGCAAATTATACAAACGAGATGCGAATTATACAAATTATTGCCCTCTCTCATTCACCTCTCTTCTTCCTCTCCCATTCTCACTCGCCTCTCTCCTCCCTCTCCCAATCTCGCTCGCCAGATCTACAAATCATATGTATACCAGTTACATATATACAATTATTTTGACAGATATACATATACAATTCGCCTCTCTCCACTCTCTACCCTCTCTCGCCCGCCTCTCTCCTCCCTCTCCCAATTTCGCTCGCCACTCTCCTCCCTATACCATGTAGCTACGAATCGTAATTACTCTATTTTTGAGTGGCTATATGCAAAAGTTCCCCAAAAAAATATTGTAATAACATGATGTAAACATCGGCTAATGCAATGCGCGATTAAGTTAAATACAAATATCCAATATGCATATGTTCTTAGAATCATGTATATTCCATACCTAATAAATAAACTAATTACGAGCTAAAACTTTTATTTGTGACAAGAAGGAAATAACACTCTTTTAAAACAAAGGAATTAATTGGGGACTTTTGCTAGCCTTAGGCCTTTTTTCCTTTTTTTTTCGAATGATATTACACGTATAAATGTTCGATGAATCTAAAGCAATAGATTTGCAAGACTTGTGATTTTTTTTCTTTTTTTCTCAATTAAAAGAGAGAAGAGGAAGGGAGAAGCTTCTTTTCTATATCGAGTTGTTATTTGGTCCCTAGCGACCTAATTAGTCATAATTTTACTTCTTTATAGAGTTGATTTGTCTTCTCATTCAACTTGAGATCAATCATATGGATTTTTTGTCTTATTTACCCGTAGTCTTAGCTCAGATAGAGTATTTTACGTGTTCGCTCAACTCTTGTAAATTAAGGATGAACGTTCACTGTTTATGATAAGAATATCAATATATATAGGTTAAATTATTAGACGCGTGATGAAATTTAATTTAACAAAAGGTATCAAAAGAATATAAAATGTCATGGATTACCATCTACGTTGGCCTTATGCAAGATCGATGTGATTTCCTCTTGCATAACAATTTTCTAATATTTAACTTATATACATTAGGTGCAATTTATTTCAAATACACTATATTCACATGTATGTAGAATGCATTGACTTTCTCGCTCGTCTTTCTCCTATCCCGGTCGCCTCTCTCTCTATGTATCTGACTTGAAATCTGAAGGAGTAATGTATCTGATTTGAAATCCAGTACAAATTCATTAATAAGTAGACAATACGTAATTATTTCAAACTATAGAATGGATTCGTTTGTATGTTTGTGTAATTACCAAAATAAAAACCAAGAGTCAATTTGGGCCTTAAAAGCCCAAAACAGTTGGCCCACTTAGTTGTTTCTCTTCGGGTTGGCGCCTTAGATCCATTTACCCAAAAAAAACTTCACAACAATCCTTCACTCTCATCTCTTTCGTTTTTTCACACAGTTACACCTTCACTGTGTGATTTTCTTCACACACAAAAACAAACCCTAAATTCCCCTTCTTCTGTAACGACGACACCAAAAAAGTTCTTCAATTCTCGTAAGTTTCTCTCTCTTACAGTGTTTCTCTCTCCTGTTCACGCCATAGATGGTAGTGTTGTTATAATTGGAGCTGTTGTTTATTTGGATATATATGTTTAAAAACCCGAAGTCCGAATGAATTTTGGGTTATATGTATGTTTTCCCGATCCGATGTCTATAGGGTTTTAATTATTCTGCTTCTCCGACCCGACTTTTTCCTTTTTTTTTAATCTGTAACCTAATATGGATCGGATTATGGGTTCGGGTTACTGGGTCGTGATGACCCGGTTTGGGGAGTGCAAATTTGGGTAGTGGGTATTGGGTTGAGCTCTTTACTCTTTGAATTTTGAATTTGGAGGATTAATTTGTTCTCAAAGTTTCCATTTTTTTTGTTTGCAAATAATGCAGTGCTTGAGCTGAGCGTCTTTTTAACCTCCCCAGATCCCGTTTGTGGGATTATACTGAGTATGTTGTTGTTGTTGTGCTTTGTGAATTAAGAGTAATTTTTGGTGTTTTGTTGGCTAGAATTTTGGTAGTGTGTATTTTAAGTATAAATTTCTTTTTGTTGTCTATCGTGGTTTTGAGTATTCATATGAAGCATAATGTATCAGATAACTTTGTCCACCAAGGCTTTTACAACATACTTGTTGAATTTTGCCTTTCAACATCTAATTTGTGGTTTAAGTTTCCATCTTTGGTTTGCAAACAATGTTGTGCTTTGTAAAATTAACGAGTAAGTTTGGTGTTCTGTTGGCTAGAATTTTGCGAGTGCATAGTTTAATTATAAATTAATTCTTGTTGTCTTTTGTGGTATTGAGGATTCATATGAAGCAGAATGTACTTGGTAACTTTGTCACCAAGGCTTTTACAACATACTTGTTGAATTTTGCCTTTCAACGTTCTAATTTTTGGTTAAAGTTTCCATCTTTGGTTTGCAAACAATGTTGTGCTTTGTAAATTAACGAGTAATTTTGGTGTGTTCTGTTGGCTAGAATCTCGCGGGTGTGTATTAAAATTTTCTTCTTGTTGTCTTTGGTGTTATTAAGGATTCATATGGAGTTGAATGTACTCAGTAACTCTATTCACCAAGGCTTTTACAATGTACTTGTTGAATTTTGCCTTTCAACATCTAATTTGTGGTTAAAGTTTCCATCTTTGGTTTGCAAACAATCTTGTGCTTTGTAAATTAAAGAGGAATTTTGGTGATTTTTTAATCGTAAATTTCTTCTTATATGTGGGTTTGAGGAATCATATGGAGCAAAGTGGATATTGATGTTCATATTGCTGACCTCAACTAGTTTGGATTAAAGTTATAGTTGCCTTGTATTGCCTTAGGTGGGTAATTTGAAATTTAAGGGTTATATATAGCAGCTTAATACACCTTCAGAAAAGCATTTGATAAAGCTGTATATTTTTATGTAATGTGTGCAAATTTGATAGTGTTATATTGTAATGTAAATGTTACAGAAGTCTGGTTTGATGTGATGTGTGCAAATGGGTGTTTTTCCAATATAAATGGAAGTGAAGTCGGGTCTAGATTTATTGGTAGATTTATAGTGTTTTTTGTACTGTAAATGGTAGAGAAGTCCGGTTTGATGTGTTGCATGTGAATTTGATCTGTGTTTTTTGTAATGTAAATGGTAAAGAAGTCCGGTTTGATGTGATGTGTGCGAATGTGATAGGTATTTTTTGGAATGTAAATGGTAGAGAAGTGCGGTTTGATGTGATGTTTGCAAATTGGATAAGTGGTTTTTGTAATTTAAATGATAGAGAAATCCGGACTAGGGTTTTTGGTATCTTATATGTACTGTGCCTCGCCCAAAAATTAGTCATATGTACCTACATTCTTTTTGACTATCCTAGCTTGAGGAATGGGCCTTAGTCATCTGTTTAGGTATGTGTCTAGAGTAACAGCTTAAAAGAACTAACTGCAGAAGTCACATAGGTAATGCAACATTGTAATATTTGAAGTTTTGAAAACTTTTGGCAACTAAAAAAAAAGCTCTGTCAATTATTGAAATTTTTTTGTCACATTAGCACACCAGACTTGGTTCAACAGGCAGGTTTTGAACTTGTGACATGAGTATGTTGTTGGACTACGCTGGATATGTTTTTGTTGTTGTTGTTGTTGTTGTTGTATGCATGCTTAGTATAGTTTTTGGGCTAAGGGAATTGAATTGAACCCCTTCATGCAATATAGATGTACTTCCTTTTTCTCCCAAGTATTACTTATTATTTCTTTATTCAAACTTTTTTAGAGGTTGGCTTTATGTGCAAGATATATATGGCGTCTTTGTGCTTGTGTGATTGACACTATATTATCCCAATTGATAATTTGAAGAACTGTATGATTTTAATTAGTCTGTGTTATTGAAGCTTTGTTGTTTCTTCATTATTCTGGTTTAGATTTAATAAATTGTCTGTCATTTTCCTCACATCCCCTGAAAAATATCCCAGGTATTGCTACAGTACTGGAAGCAATGGAGATAGAGGAAGAAGCAGTCATAGTCAATTCTAGTAGGCTAAAATCTGTTGTGTGGAATGACTTTGATAGAGTAAAAAAAGGTGATACTTTTGTGGCTATCTGTAGACACTGTAAAAGGAAACTTAGTGGGTCTAGTACCAGTGGGACTTCACATTTGAGAAATCATTTGATCAGATGTCGTAGGAGATCAAACCATGATATAAGTCAGTTGCTGACACGGGGAAAGAAAAAGGAAGGACCTCTTGCCATCTCGAATTTTAGTTTTGATCAAGAGCAGAGAAATGGTGATGCAGTCAGCGTTGTGAGGACTAAGTTTGAACAAGGACACACAAGAGATGGGTTATTCAACAATGGGATTGTTAACTTTGATAACAGGCGAAGCAGGCTTGACCTTGCCCGCATGATCATATTACATGGCTATCCTTTGTCTATGGTTGAACATATTGGTTTCCGTATATTTATTAGGAATCTTCAACCCTTGTTTGACATTGCAACATTTGATGGAGTTGAGGCAGACTGCCGGGAAATTTATTTGATGGAGAGACAGAAAGTATATGAAGAGTTGGACAAATTGCCTGGGAAAATCAGCCTTAGTGCTGATACATGGACTGCAAATGGTGATGCTGAATACTTGTGCTTGACGGCACATTACATAGATGACTCTTGGCATCTTAAAAAGAAGATTCTGAATTTTTTAACAACTGATCCTTCCCAAACAGAAGATATGCTGTCAGAAGTTATCATGACTAGTCTAAGAAATTGGGATATCGACCGAAAATTGTTCTCAGTGACATTTGATAACTACTCAACATATGACAAAATTGTAAGTAGAATCAGAGAGCAGCTTTGTCAACACAGATTTCTTTATTGTGATGGCCAATTATTTGATACACGCTGTGCAGCTAATGTTATCAAGTTGATGGTCCAAGATACCTTAGAAACAGCAAGCCAGATAATCCACAAGGTCCGGGAAAGTATTCGGTATGTTCGAAGTTCACAGGCAACCCAGGAAAAGTTCACTGAGATGGCTCAAATTGCTGGGGTTGATTCCCAGAAGTGCCTGAATCTTGATAATTCATTTTATTGGAACTCAACTTATATCATGATTGAAACTGCTTTGGAGTACAAAGATGCATTTCCTCTTTTGCAAGAACATGATTCTCGGTATGCAATGTGTCCAACTGTGACAGAGTGGGATAGGATAAGTGCCATTGCTAGCTTCCTAAAGCTCTTTGTTGAGGTTTCCAATGTTTTTGCTGGAAGCAAGTATCCTACGGCAAATACATATTTCCCAGATATCTGTGATATTCACTTGCAGTTGATTGAGTGGTGTCAAAACTCAGATGATTTTGTTAATTCTTTGGCTCTGAAGTTGAAAAGCAGATTTGATGAGTACTGGAAAAAATGTAGCTTGGCTTTGGCGATTGCAGCTATCTTAGACCCACGATTCAAGATGCAATTGGTTAAATATTATTATCCACAAATATATGGTGATAGTGCTCCAGACTGCATTAATATTGTTTCAGATTGTATGAAGGCTCTGTATAATGGCCATGCTATTTATTCACCATTAGCTCCTAATGGTCAAGCTGAAGCATCTCAAGTTGGTGGTGCTAATAATGATCGGCTGACGGGATTTGACAAATTCATCTATGAGACCTCAGTGAGCAACAACATTAAATCAGATTTGGACAATTATTTGGAGGAAAAGTTGTTCCCTAGAAAAGATGATTTTAACATATTAAACTGGTGGAAGGTTCACACTCCAAGGTATCCTATTCTGTCCATGATGGCACGCAATATTCTAGGAATGCCGATGTCAAAAGCTTCACTAGAGTATGTGTTCAACACTGGGAATAAGGCTCTTGAACCATATCGCAGTTCGCTAAGATCAGATACCTTGCAAGCTTTGATGTGTGCCCAGGACTGGATGCGTGATGAATTTGAAGGTCAATATTTAATAGTGTAGTTTACAATTATGACATATTCTATATTAGCTATAAAGAATAATTCTGAATCTTTCTGCAACAGATTCGAAGGCTTCATCAAGCACTGTCACTCTGGCCCTGTGCTATGATGCAAAATAAGAGCAAGTCTTTGGTAAGCTTAGGTTGCCATTCTTTTGCGTTTATCTGTGTATATTAGCACCTACCAAATGGTCCCCCTCTCTCTATCCTTATGTTAAGATTTTGTAGAAATTAGTTCATTTGCAGATCTTGCTTTTCCAGAGCTCCCATAAATTAGTTCAAGATGAGTTCAAGAATCTAACAGCTTTTGCCATCTTAGCCTTCATCAATTGACTAACTTATCTGTATCTACTTCTCTTTTCTATTCTGTCCATTCTCGTTTGGGGTTCTTTACGGTATTGATCGTGTCAAGGATCATTCCGAATTAGTGTTAACTCATGATCATTATGGTCTTGGTTTGTTCATCTGAGCCAGATGAAAGAAAAATTTGCGAGGTATTCTTGGATTTTTGCAGCTTTCGTGCCCACACTCCAGCCTACCGGGAGATGGTATTGTCTGCTGTTTAGTATTTTTCAGCCTCTTGAGTTGGACCATAACAGCCTAATAATGGTTGAAGATAGTGAGTTAATTAGTTAAGGGAAAAAGGAATTTTGTAGGGCTGTTGCTTATGATATCTTACTTGAACCATATAATATAATGTCTCTAATTTCAGTTTTTGAAATATTTATTATATTCTGGCAAATAGGGTAAGAATTGTGATTTGGTAACAATATTTACAACTTAATGACTTTCAACTTATAGAATCTACACAATTGAAGAATACCGATTTCTCTTTATAAAAATATGTCCAGACAGGAAATATTTGAGATTCGGGCTAAATGTCACTTTTGGTTCCTCGGTTATTGATAAATTCTGATTTGTCGATATGTGACTAAGCACGTTTAACCGTTGATTATTTGAAATGTGCGCTTTTGATCTCATTGCTTATGAATATTCACGATTTTTCTGAATTTCTTATTGGTCCACCTTTAAAAAAATTTATATCCATTTGTTACTTCTTCATATATCTTTGAGGGTGTGAAGTAACACATTTTTATAAATCAATGCATATTGACAATATCAAACTTTTCTATTATAAAAAATAAGGACAATATTATGTCATGGCCTGGGTGAGTCTTCCTACACGACAGGACGTCCGGTTCTAGACAAAGCTACAACGGTTCAATTATTTCATTTTTTATGACGATGTTTAATCATAAAACTCGTGATATTAAATAAAACAGGATATAAGCTATGGTTATTAGAACATAATCATTAAGATTAATGCTGAGGATAAAACATGGAGAAAAAATAATCTATCTTTACTTCGTATGTTAAAAACGATAATCTATTTTTGAAATTGTGAACAAGTAAAATTAAACAGAGGAAATATCCCCTAAGGCCTAGCTCAAGTGGCAAAAGGTGGAGGATTTGTGGCTTAGGTCGCAGGTTCAAGCCCCACACCATGCAAAGCAAAGCCTGGTATTTAAGTGGAGAAGAGTAGAGGGGCGGGCCCATTATCCACCTAGTTTAGAAGGCTGTGATTGGTCCAAGGGCGGATCACAAACGGATTTCTCGGTTATCAAAAAAAAAATTAAACAGAGGAAATAATGATTTTTCTTGACTATTACATCAATTGTCCAGGGGATTTTTTTTATCCAGGGGATAATCTAAATTGTAATTTGTATACGTGTGTATCCTAGATAAGAGTTAATGGTCAAAAAAATACATTTAAACTATCACTTTTTTGTGAGTTTTACACGTAAAATATTGGTTGTTTCCTATTTCTACTTGAACTATTACCATCTATGTATTTTTTTTTTAAAAAAACACCTCAACTACGACTTGTTCCTCTTTTCATACCTAAACTATCACCATCCTTCAGGCAGGATAAGGGATTGTTGAGGTGTGTTATAATACATAGATTTTGATACCAGCTTGCAATCTGAGCAAATTTTCAACTTGTTTGAGACTCATTTGAAGGACTTGTAACTTAGGTTGCAAGTTCGAGCCATATGTCATGCGAACTAAGCTTGGTATTTAAGCGTAAAAGGGCAGAGAGGCGAGCCCGTTATCCTCGAGTTTTGAAAGTTGCGGTTAGTTCTTAGGGTGACTCTAGACGGACTTCTCTATCATAAAAAAAACGAAGATCCAATTCAAGTATTCATGGACCATGATGCATCTACTTTTAATAAGTAATCCTTTTCCTGAGCCAAGGGTCTATCAGAAACATCTTCTCTACCTCTCAAGGTAAGGGTAAGATCGGCATATACAGTACCCTCCTCAAGCCTTACACCGAGTATGTTCTTGTTGTATATAAAATCCTGCACTTTTTAAAGCATATAATATGGTGGACCTAAGGTATAATATAATGTCGGGCAACTCTTTCTTTATCAAAGTGATCATACCAAATGGATAGTTATTTTTCGTGTTGACATAACAAAAGATATACACTAGGTAACACATTAAATTGATATTTCACATATAGTAAAATCAACCTTCAAACTAAACTCACAAGAAATCATAATGAAACTGAAACATACTTGCAAGATTTTAAGGTGACTTTTTGAAACATGATACAAAGTTCAAGCTCTACCAGTCTGTTAGGATACCTTAGTTGCATACATTTACTGTTGTGAATGAACAAGATAGTGGGAAAATGTCCATACGTAGAATCAGAATTATTGATACGAGCCTTCATTTCAAGGTCTAGGCTTGAATGGACCCTCGTTGGCTAACTTAAATCGCGCTGCCTGAGCTGCAGCAGCCTTGTTTGAACTAAGTGCTGCAACAAATTTTTCCCTAACTTGTTTGGTAGTATAAGGATACTTCTTGTTCACCATAGAGTTCAGCAAAGAAGCTGTGCCTTCCCTGTAGAGTTCTCCAACACCATCGGAACGAGTGTTTGAAAGTGCTTGCAGGAGGTTGAAGTTTGATCCGAGCCCCGGAGAAGCAGCTACACCAAATGCACTACCAACAGTTGCCCACCAGCCAAACAAGCCCCATATTAAAGCCGGGTTAGTCCTCCAGTAACTACAAAAAATTCATAATATTTCATGTTAATATGTTACATATTTCAATTTTATCGAATGTCCCTGAAGGGAGTGTTGTGTAATGTGATTTACTTACTCGATCGAGAAAGGTGGTGAGTTAGGATAGAATAGAGGTGGAGGTATGTAGATAGCAGGGGTGCCTGGGATGCCCGGGTTGATGATAGGGGTAGTTGGTGGGAAAAATATGGGTATACCGGGGGTACTAGGTGTAGGGAAAGTTGGAGGGGAGGGATAGTACCCGCCCGAAGGTGGTGAATTGGGGTCAAATGGAGCTGAAGGAGTGAATATATTGGGAATGCTCGGAGTGCCAGGGCCGATGATAGGAGTAGTTGGTGTGGTAGGGGTACCATAAGTTGGAGGGGATGGATAATACCCGCCCCCTCCAGAAGGTGGTGAATTGGGGTCAAATGGAGTTGAAGGTGTGGATATATCGGGAATACTCGGAGTGTTAGGGCTTATGATAGGCGTAGTTGGCGGGGTTCCACTATCAGTTGGAGGGGATGGATAGTACCCACCCCCTCCAGAAGGTGGTGAATTGGGGTCAAATGGAGCTGAAGGAGTGTCAGGGCTTATGATAGGAGTAGTTGTGGGGGTTCCACCATCAGCTGGAGGGGATGGATAGTATCCGCCCCCTCCAGAAGGTGGTGAATTGGGGTCAAATGGAGGTGATGGTACGGAGATATCCGGAGTGCTCGGTGTGGATGGGGTACTTGGAGGGGATGGCGGAGAGTAACCACCTCCAGTTCCTCCCGAAGGAGGAGCTAGGGTGGGAGTATGGCCACCGCCCCCTCCACTTGGCGGATTATCACAGCCAGCATGTGATTTTCCGCCACGGGTACTGCTTCCATGTGAAGGTGTTTTTCGAGAGCCACCACTTCCTGAGCCATGTGATGGAGGTGTTCGCGAATCTGTCATAAAAATAAAAAATAAAGAATTTGATTCAAAAAGGCGAAAATAGTAAGTAATAAACTAACAAAAAGAGTGACACATAAGAGACTTTTTGGAGGAGTTCTGCAAGAAATGACAGGAGTAACCAAATTCTGCATGAGTAATGCAGCAACCGTAGCCCACAGGATTAGAGAAGTCTGTTTGCTTCTTTTCTTCTCCATCTTGGTATGCTCTCAAGGGAACTGAATGAGAGAAAAGAGAGGGGGTGGGGGGGTTAAAGAGTTTAACTGATGTATAGTGATACAAGAGAAGAGTTGTATATAAAGAGTAACGAGGACGTACGTGTATTTATCAAAAGTAGTAGATATCTCGTGAAATTAATCAAGGTGTGTAAGCTTGTCTGAGCACCATGGTTAAAGAGTTTAATTGATGCCTAGTGGGGCTGAGGGTGTAAAGAGTTTAATTGGTGCAAAGTGAAACAAGAGAAGAGTTGTATATGAAGAGTAACCAGGGCGTACTTGTGTTGGTGGGAGGTAACAGGTACTTCTTGGCATTAATTGAGGTGCGCTCAAATTGGTCCGAGACACCATGGTTAAGAAGTTTAATTGATGCCTAATGATATAAGAGAAGAGTTGTATGTAAAGTGTTACGAGGACGTATATGCGTTGGTGGGAGGTAGCATGTATCCCGTGGAATTAGTCAAATTGGTTTGGACATCATGGTTAAGGAGCTTAATGGATGCCTAGTGATACAAGAAAAGAGTTGTATATGAAGATTAACGATGACGTACATGTGTTGGTGGGAGATAACAAATACCCTATACGTAAGCTAGTCCGGACATCACAATAATAAAAAGTGATGAGTACAGAAGTTGTTAATATATGCATAAATGAAAGAGTATGAGCAAGGTCAGCTGCATACGTTGCAGGTTGCATTTAAGGTCTCATTTAAATCTCACATAGAAGAACATGGACAAATGTAAGTACTTCATCACTCTAAACATATCCTAGTTTTGTCATTGTCACTAACACAAAATACTTTTCATAGTACATTAATGAAATTGTAAAAATATATATAAAAAAAATAAAATATACACACTTTATGGTTAGGAGAACCTTATTACTAGAATTGTTTGTATTATGCTCTATTGCTATGTCTGAATTTAATCTCATTATATATGTAGAATTGAAAATGTATCGCTCATAATGGTGATTATTTAGAAGTTTGAGTCCTACTACTAAGCCAACCAACTCCTTCTCTTTCACTTGATACAAATCAATCGAAGTATCTATCACCCTGCAGATTTCAAACTAGCAACGAAATATGTAATCTCACTACTACATTTGTCCTTGCCACATGCCTCCTAT